CGTGTGCCTTGGCAGTCTCTAGAATTTTTATGTAAATACTATTAATATGGGGAACTAGCGTACAACCTGTCAAAAATGATGTGGCAAGTACTACCACCCCATAGTATACAATAACCTCACATTTCATAGCTAACTGAAACAAATACATTTTGCGAAATCAAGCTTGACCAACAAAAAGGCAGAAAAGTGCAGTCGAGGCAGTCAAACGTCAATAAATTCCTTTGTGAGCCAATCAAAATTAAGATTATACATGAAATGAATTTGTGGCGTATTCATAGAATAATTATTAATAAAAATCGGTTAGATTAACAATTTCTGATATATAGAAAAGCCAGTGTGTTTTGGTAACACTACATTCCAACAATGGCTTTTATGTCACGTTGCTTAACAACAAAGGTATAACCTAATACTGTTGTTAGTCTATGTACTGAAAGTATAAAATGAAATGCACGAAAACAAAATTGGAAACATTTGTTGATTTCTTAAGTTAGAGTATCCATTGATTAAGGAGGTTTTTTTTTATGATTAAAAACATTAGTGATATAACAGAAAATAGCTTAATTTAGAAATAATTTAAGTTTGAAATTGAATTGATGTTTTTACTTTCATGATAAATTTTATACATTTGGCTGAAAGCTAGGTGATCCCACACTATGTATTTATTTTAGGCTTATTATACCAGCACTCACTACACTTAAGGTTTCAAAGCACCACCCCCTTTATGGTCCCCTTGCACCCCTATCACTAAAATCATAATGAGCAGTAATCAAACTGTTCTATCTGGAAAAATGCATTTTGGCTTTTATGACTCCTATTTTAAGAAATCAAGCGTGATGTAACACACTGGCTTTTATATAGTTTAGATATCTTGGCAAGTTGACATTTTAGACAATGTTGAATATTCTAAAGGGATTCAAGGTCAAAATATGAAAGTTGCTGGATTGTTTCTCAAACAACTATGCTTTTCTCATGGTGAATCAGATGTAGTGTGTTCAAGGGTGGGGTCACCTCAAAATCTTTTATTTGTTGGTAGATGGAAAGCAAATTGCAAATGTTGTTTATGAAGAAGCTTTGTTACAATTTTAAAATTAAGCTAAAGTTTATATTCAAGTTATTACTTTGAAATAGCTGATTGCTGTTAAACTTAAATTGTTTTAATACAAGTTT